GTTTAAAGCTCTGTCTAACTCGCTTTCTCCTCTTATATTTCCGTGTTCACTGTGTGCTTCTTCGTCAGACATAATTAGGCGAACTATGAAACAACTTTACCCTTTCAGTAACGCCCGTCGAATGAATAACATTCTTAACATGTGTAATACATGTATACAAGATTCCCGCCTCACGAAAAACCCGTGCAATCTTCTTATATAGTATTACAGATGTAAAATGACAAAATGACATACGTTACAGAAATAAGAAGACAAAACGACATAAAGAAATATAACTAATGGATGGATGATCACCAAACTTTGTCTGTAGCATTCTTAGGTACTCTTTTATCAAGTTTGCTCATATTAATTTGATCGGCCCCTTTTAGGGGCCACTAAAGCTAAAAATAGAAAAAACCTTTGAACATCATTAATTTTCCTATTGAAATAATTGATAGATGATCACCAAACTTCGTAGCATTCTTAGGTAGTCTTTTATCAAGTTTGCTCATATTAATTTGATTGGCCCCATTTAAGCTAAAGCTTAAGTGCCCCAGGTCATGGCATTTCTTAAAATTATTGTTTAAACATATTCTATGCTCAAATTTAATATTAAAAAAAAATGACAATGGATAATTTCCAACACTGAAAAGCAGTTGTTTCTGGTTAGCAATTCAGGGCCATCATGGCCCTCTTGTCTTTAATTTTCCTTTAAAAGATTTGTTTAAACCGTTTATTTGTTTGCTTTTAGAAAAAAGTAAAAAAGTCGAGCATTTCACGTTCAGCGGTGGCTCATGTTAATCATGTACTGACACTTTACCATATTTGTAAGTTTGTTTTTGCAAGAGAAATAGCCAAACTATAACATGGTGTAATTATTTTATCCGGCTACCATATATTGTATTTTTATGCATGTTAAAAACTCTGGCCAAGCTAAATCCCATATACATAAGATTAAACTGTTACAGCCTAAAATCTAGAAGGTAAAAATGTTTTATATTTTTTACAACCAGTTTAAATATGTTTGATGATGTTTTTGATACAAGTTTTATCATATTTCCTATAATGCTATATACAGGGACACCAGTTTTTGTTGTTGGAGAACAGATGTGCCATTCTTGATAAAATCAAGGCACAAACTGACCTGGTAAAGGTTACCCTGATAGTTTAATGTTCTAATTTGCTGAAACGACTGTAAAACAATATCTCTGGTACATATTAACTAACAACTCATGAACTCAACAAAAGTATGGTCATTTAAGTGTGACTTTATGGTGCGACTTACATTGTCATTTTTCTTTACTCTCAATATCCACTTGTGACAGATAGCTTTCACAAAAATCGTTTGCATCGATGATCATACATTGTTTTAAAATATTGATTGACTTTTTACCTTGATTTGAATGCTTACTTTTTAAGTTTTCGTTAAAACATAAGAAGTCTAGTCAATGTGGTAGTGCATGGTGAATGTTTAAAAAATGCAGCACTGGCTTTCGGAAATTTCTTTGGACAACAATTATCTGGGGCTGTCTTTAGGACCCTTCATGTGTTTTATTTTTTTCAAGGATTTTTAAACAAGTGATTTAAATGGATTAAATATTGGATTGTTTTTGAATAATGAAAGTGGTACTATTACTTTAAGTTTAGAGAGAAAATTTAACAATGTCTTCAATGGCAGAAAGGTAAGAATTGGGCTTTTTATATATGGGCTCTAACTATTGTAATTTATTTTCAATAGGTATAAGTATGCCATATATTGTTTAAATCAGGGGATGTTGCTCTTGGCAAATTTATCAACTTTTTGAGACAATCATTTCATATCTACAAACATTTTCAAAGTGAAAAATAAAAAATTAAACATTTGCTTATGAAAAAAAATAAAATGTTTTTGTCCTTTCAAGTAAAAGATTTAATAAATGCACTATTATTAATATAATTTATAGTTTGACTTGAAAATAATTAATCAATGTTAACTTAAAATCCAACTAACGTGGTATTATATGGTATATGACCAAACATTTTATATAAATTTCATTCGCACACAAGAAAATTACAGCATTATCAAAGCTGCACCATGTAACATGGAATGATAGAGTCTCATTTAAATCAAACAAAATTCTAAGACACAAATAGTTTCATGCTGGACAATGGTCGTTAACCTCCGTTTTAAAACCTTTAAACCCTAATGGTAGTAAAACTAACAAAAGAATTTGGTAAGTTTAAGAATTAAGAACATGATTCTTCATTATTCTGTTCAATACAGGCTTACAGTTTCAATATTTTCTCATGATAAAATTTACGAAAACAAAACAAATAGAAGTACAGTCACAAAAACAATCCCAATAGGCTTGCCTAACCCAATGAAAAAAATCAAAATCACATAGGAAAGTTTAATGACATTAAAATTTCAAGAGGGGGGAAAGTATTCATACTATGTCATGAATGATGTAATCTCACTGATTTTTTTTCTATTTAATCTTTAATCTTGTAATCTCAATGAAAATATTGAGTTAATCCACGTTTATCCCATTTAATCCAAAAATAATCAAATATGAAATATGTTGTTGGAAGAATTGGTATGACATTTTTATTGTCTTTGTAAATGTCACGAGATAAATGTCATAGAAAAACATGTAAAAAAAAAATAGAAAAGAAAAATTATTTAATGAGCAAAATTATATGGATTATAAATATACATAATTATAATGATTGATGGTTTTCTTTTTTGCAAGACATAAGGTAATCTTTTTGACTTGGTTATTTGTTTGTATTTTAATAAAATATGATGTGATGTTTAAAATACACTCAAACTATATGGAACAGTAATTGCATCAAATTTACTAAAGTGCATTTTTTTTAAATTTAAAGTTCTGTAAATTTTTATATGTCATCACATTTTGAATGCAGATTCTGTCCACATCCACTGATAATTACATATTTTATATTTTTTTCATATAAGAGCTCTAAGTATCTAAATCATAAAGTGCCAATAGTAAATATTTGGTTGGCCTGCTCATCATGACTCTGTATTGGTGGTCTAGACAAGTTGTTACATATTCTTTTAACTTTATCACCCTAATTTAATATCTTAAACTGGCTGGTCCATCTTTCAATCTAGACAAAACCATTCATCATTTTCAGGGAAAATTTCACATTAAGAAAACTGTCTGTATAGCAAACAGTGCAAACCCATGTGCTGGGTGATCTTGGTCTGCACTGGTCTCATTGGTAAATGGAGTTAAACTTTTACAATGTATAAATACAGTATTAAGCATACAAGCATTTGATAGTATTGCGGGCAATACAGTAGTCCCCTACCGGTCCCTCAAAAAGTTCTTTAATTGTCATACACTCCTGTGTATTGCCATTTATAATGAATTTGAGGATGAAGTCTGTATTTGAAAATATCAACCACAAAACATAATAAAATAAGTTTGTCTATATCACAGTAATGTGTTATGTTTCCATGCTTAGTAAGGAAATTATGTTTATACAACCTTGTCATATTATTACGATGTGGGATTTTAAAGTAAATCCTATAAGGAATGAAGAAGTTGGAGTGAAAATACCAGTTTCTCGAAAAAAAATCTAAGTTCAAGGGGGACATTATTCTGGAAATAGTCTTGCTAGAGTATTTAACCTTCTCAAAAATGTCGAGTGATAATAAGAAACATATATATGAAGTTTGAAGTAGATACATTAGGAAATAAAGAAGTTATTTAAAAAAGACAACATTTTTTCCCCTAAAAAATCTAAGTTCAAGGGAGGTAATACTGATATTTTTTGTGCTAGAGTTATAAACCTTGTCACATATGATGTGGTTGATGACCAGAAACTTAAGAAATAAAGAACATATAGTGAAAAAGCTGAAAAATTTAAATCAGCAATCTTGAAATTCAGGCTATTTGTTGCCATAGCAACCAGAATTTTCAACATAGGAAGAAAAGAAAAAGATGTGCATAATCTCCAGACTGCCATCTACCCATATTTCAAGTTTCATAAAAATATTTTCAGTACTTTTTGAGTTATCACTGGATCCAGTTTATGTGTTAAATTTGCCATATTTTCAGACTATTTGTTGCCATAACAACCAGAATTTTCAACATAGGAAGAAAAAAAAAAGACGTGCATAATCTCCATACTGCCATCTATCCATATATCAAGTTTCATAAAAATATTTTCAGTACTTTTTGCATTATCGCGGGATCCAGTTTTGTGGACGGACGGACTGACGGACTGACAGACAGACGGACAGACGGACGGAGGGTAAACCTAAAGTCCCCTCCGGTTAAACCGGTAGGGGACTAATAAAGTAGACACAAAATGTTGAGTTTGAATACATTCAAATAGGAGATTGTCTATTAACCATACTTATAAATAGTCACATAATTTGAATGATAATGAAAAAAATGCCAAATTAATTCATTAACATAACCAGTAATTGAAAATGTTTATGAACCTTTTTGTTGAATTCCAGTGTGAATTAATATGTTGAAATTTAGAAGAAGAAAAACTATATATGAGTCGCGTCACGACAAAACCAACATAGTGCGTTTGCGACCAGCATGGATACAGAGCCAGCCTGCGCATCCGCCCAGTCTGATCAGGATCCATGCTGTTCGCTATCAGTTTCTCTACTTGTTATAGAGTTTGTAAGCGAACAGCATGGATCCTGATCCGATTGCGCGGATGCACAGGCTGGTCTGGATCCATGCTGGTCACAAACCCATTATGTTGGTTTTGTCATGGCGCGGCTCATATCATGAAACACTTTAATTTCATCAATAAGTTGATGGTTAACTAGATAAAATTTCATGTCTTTGATGTCAAACTGTAAATAGGAAGGATTTATGTGTAAACTTAATTGAATTAAAGCCATTTATAGCTTAAATTTATTGATTACCTGTAAAAATATCAGCGTTTTTTCAACAAAAGTGTGCTGTTTCTAACCAAACTGTCAACACCATAACTTTGTTGTGACTCGCATTTTGTAAGGAAGTGTGATAAAGCCCTTTCACTCTCTCATTAAAAGTTTAAAATTACTTAAAATTGCGTTAGAGATAGTGTTAAACTGTAGACTTTACCTTTAGATGAAGTGAATTAAAATGTAATTTGTTTTTATACGCTTTCCATGTTTATATAATCGCTGATGAATGACATGTCAATTCGGTTTGGATCTAAAATCGATCAATTCATTTATCTTCGCCTATTCTTGTATGTTCAGTGTTGTATCATTTTCATTATCAGTAATGAACGGGTTGATTGTAGAGACGTTGACTTTAATTCTCGCTACTTGAATTAGATTCAATTTAAAATCTCCATTCAGTGATAAAGAAAGGACATATATACATACAGGAAATGTGAAATATCTTAATGCATATTTTTCAAGATCAATAGTTATTAAGTTATTTTATAAGAAAGTTGAATTGCATGTATTGAAAGTTAAAAAATCATTCAAAATTGAAAAATGAAGAAAAAGAAAATTGTCAGGGAAAGTGGCATAAAAGCATCAGTGTAAGTGAATTTTAATTTTATTTTTTTAATTTTCAGTTCTTGTTTTTAATTTATTTCAAAAATATTGTTTTTAAGTTGTCTGTATTATATTGTAAAAATGTTGTATATGGGCCGAAAGCCTAAGTACAAGTAAACTAAACTACAGTGTGTATAAATTTAATTTTTCAACAACTAGTTGTTTTTTCTAAAGTTTCTAAAGTTTTTTTACACAGATATTTGTTTTGTCGGTCTTTTTTATCTAGAAAAACTTCATGAAATAGATTCTATAATTCTTGCAATGTATGTTATATTGCCTTGATGTGGGACCAATTATAAATCTTATACATGTAGTCATCTATATTTCACTTCAGTGTTTAAATCATCAGATTTTGTACATTTTGAAATATGAAAATAAACTACAGTAAACTGCCCAAGAATTATGCAATTTGGATAATATACATGTAAATGTATAGTTAATTAAAATTAATGAGTAAAAATATAAACATGCCGAATTTATTTTCATATTCATATTTTCATATTTTTTTTGGGGGGGGGGGGGGGGGGTAAAATTATTTCATCTTTTAGACAAAACAATAATCTAATTGGTACAAGCAAAATTATTAGTTCAGTTAATATAACTTATTAATCAAAAAAGACTTTACCGGTACACTCATTTTTACTTCCAGACGTTATGTCACTACCTAGTATAATAATTCTGATGAAGGCTGTGGCTGAAACATTAATAAAAGAGTAATACTAAAAAAAAAACCTAACTACTGAGTTGTAGGAGTTAGTCAATTTGCTATAACAATCACAAATTATTATATCTAATGGGAGTAAAAAGGATGCCTGATAAAAGTTTCTGTCCCTTCTGGTATTTTCACTGTTTAAAGAAAAAGAGCTTTTACCAGAAAACATTTTAAGAAAAGATTAATAAATATTATTGTAGTTAGTCAAATGTTGAAATTACCACTTTAGAGCAAATGTATTCAACAATGCCAAACATGTACAGTATTGCACAATTACAGACAAATCATTAAGAATATGTCATATATCAACACTTGTTAGAATATAATCTTTTTGATCAATTTTCATGTATTGACTAGGGTCAGGACAATATTTAATCTGTAAATAAATTCTATAGTAAAAGCATGTTTTGTTTACATTGTCAATAAAGGTAACTATGCCGAGAATAAATATTGTTTCAACTTATACTGGGGATCTTTAAAGAAAACCTTTTAATTGAATTATCAACTATTTTATACTATTCTTTATATCAAACTGCGTAATATCTGGGTGCTGACTATGCCATGTTTTTAATCAAATTGATTTCTTACTTTGATCAGCAGTTAAAAAATTAAAAATGTCAAGCCCTTATTAAAATATTATTCTTTATAACAAAACTATCTGAAAGACACAGCTTTCCCCCACCTATGTTTCATGCCAAGTAAAGAACAGCTGTTCCTTAACTTGAAAAGAAAGACTGACCACCTGATTCCATGCATTATGCAAGAATAAAAGAAATTACAAAAACTAATATTTCCATGCAGCATTTTTTTCTGATAGTAGTGTATGAATTTATAACTTTATTCATAATGGAAAAAATGATGTCATCCTTTGTATGCAAATTATTCAAAAAAGGCATGTGGGAATGGCATCATTTAAAGCATGCACGGCTGTCTTACACCTTGCTGGGTGGGGTTGGTGGTAATTAATGTGCTGTGGTAATCACCATGTCATACAGAAAAATTCTTTTTTCATAACAGGGACTCAAACCTTTGACTTCATTTGGAACAAATATTCAAATAATGTATAAATTATTGACCGAGAAGTAATATTTCCCTTTTGATTTCCAAAACATTGAGAAATATTTTGAGCATTTACCTCTCAATACGGTCATGTACATGTATATAAAATTTGTTCACATGCTTGTTAATTTGCTTGTCTGAAAGATTTCAATGTAAAAATTTTTAGGTAAATAGTTATCTTAGAGAAAAAAAGGGAAGACAAAATTTCATTTAGTAAATAGATTTTATATCTTTGTAAGTGAAGAAGCCATGATGGTTTTATTAAGAAATAAAATGGAAAGCTTTTAAGTTGTTCATTAAGAATTCAAATGAAACTCTGATACTGAATTGAGAGAGCTTTAAATCTTCAGTGTGGGGCATTTTAACGAAAGTGAAATGTTCCTTATCAGATTGAAATAGAAATTGGTTTAATTGCTCTGTAATTGGTAGATGAATTTATAATGTGACAACTTAGGAATTGCATTGTTCATTTTGTCAAGACAGTACAATAGAAACTTCTATATTATAGAAAGATTTACATATATAAGTTATTGCAAATAAAGTCGGATAATTTGTTTCTTACTATTTAAGTTACGGAAGGAATAGAACTTGAACATTTGAAAGTATGTATTAAATTAAATACTACATTACAATTTACTCTTACTAATGAATTCTTTTAGCTTCAAAATACTAGGTCTCCTTCTTTACAATTCAATTTCTTAGCTTATTTAAATATGTTCTGTAAACAGACAGCATATAATGAACTATTAACATTCTGAAATATAGAACACCTTCTAATTTAAAATTCTAAAAATACTCAATTCACTGTAGCAACTTACAAGTGCTTTGGCTTTTTAAAAAAATTCTATTTTAACCATAACATTTTTCCCTTAAATGTTTTCAAAACATGAATTTTATGTTTACACGTTAAAGTTATTTGAGCAAAATATTAGTGTGCAATGAAGTACATGTAACAACTTTATTAAAGACATTATGAACATATGTTAAAACAGGCCTCAATTGTTTTTAAATGATATCAAAATTGATTTGTTCAGGTGTATTTATATACCTAACAGTACTTAGCATACACCTCTTGAATATTTTTCTGATATTTCAAAATGCATCTGAAGTAGAATTATTTCAGTACAAAGTAATTGATACATACTTGAGAACTGGAGATCTAAATGGTATCAAAAGTTGTATTAGGTTGAGAAGAGCACTTCAGTCTTTATACATTATTATTGTAAATGTAATGTTTTGTCATAACATTAAGTCTAAAATACTGTCAGATGATTTAAAATCTACAATTTTTCTTCTGTTGGAACTGTTGGATTATTTAAAATCTACAACTTTTCTTCTGTTGGAACTGCCGGATTATTTAATATCTACAACCGTTTTTTCAGCGTATGATATCAATGAAATATTAAGCGTGAAATATTTAGCCTGCCGACGGCAACAAATATTACCCATGCTATCAGTGCAGACCATGATCACACAGTATATACACCAGTCTACTTCCTGTACTTGCAAGAAAGTAACAAGTTAAAATATATAGGCTCGCAAGAAGGGTACATTGATTGGAAGTTTACATGTGATTGTTTCTTGCAAGACAGGGTACATATTGAATTACATAGGCTCGCAAGACTGGGTACAGTGATTTTGTTTATATACTGTGTGATCAGCCAGCATATCTGTGCCATATGATCATGGTCTGCACTTTTTGATATTCAGTAGGTACATTTTGTTCTGTTTAGATTGAAAGTTCGACAAGAACATTAAAGGTATTTACTATAAAAGCGTTAAAGATGTTTTGTTTAGAGTGTAATAATATACATTCAGAATATTTCGCTTTAACAACAAAGCCCACATAGGAAAAATCTGTTTACACTAAAAAAAAATTTTTTAACAAAAAAAAAACAACCCAACTTATAATGTAATATCATAATTTAACTTTAATATCTTAACATTTGAAATATTGAAATTAAAATGTCACAGGAGCTACCTAATAGCAGAAGCAATGGAAGTATTTGTGTATTGATTTTTGAACCCTATGTTCACAGTTAGATGAACTAATTCAAAACAAGGGTAAACATTTGAGAAGAATGGTAAACAAGTCTATCGATATAATGGAAGAAAAGTGAGATGATCTATGTACATTAGCTGATTATCACTTCGACTATTTATTTGTTCTAATATAAACAGGGGCTAATTTGATATCTGAATACATTCAAAATATGTAAATTTAAAATGGGTTCTTTTGAGTTTTTTTGTGCTTAAATTTCTGATGACAAAAAATTTGTATAGGCATGCTATGATCAAGTTAGTTTCTGTTTTGTTTTGAAAATTACAAGAGACAAGCACAGTGTTAGGGTATTGTAAAATGCCATTTCATTCTTAAAAAATATCATGTCTATATAATTGCATGCATAATGTATTACTTAATTTAAGGAATATTTGCTACTCCAATATTGTGCCAGTCTTCATTGCCAAGGTATTTTCTTTTTTTAACCAAAAAATAAATTCATTTATAATATGGTACTGGGTAATTCATCTGTTAAATTTCTATACAAAAGATATTAAATATTTTCATCACTTGCCTCTAAACTTGTAAACAGACACAAATATTACAAAGGAAATTAGAAATGTGTTCACAGGGCATCATACATGTGACAAATGAAATGGGCCAAATCTGGATTTTCAGCTGGATTTTGAGGCTCAAAACTGGATTTTTATCGACTTGAATTTCAATGCGTGTTTGGCACATTTTGTTCAAAGTTTTTTTTACCCTCAAAATCATTAAATGGTTATACTTTTTATGATTTTTTTTGTGGATCAATATTAATTTATTTCATCAAAAAATAAATAAATAGATAAATAAATAAGTGTAGTCATACAGGCTTATAATTTCAAAACAGTCACATTTTCACATTTCATTATTTTCAGTTTGAAGAATTATATCTGTCTTTTCAGTCATTCAATAATTGTCTACAAGCTATTTGAAAACGTACAACAACTATTCATGAACATAAGACTGTGACAGTTAAATAACGTAACATAAGTAAATAAATGCAAGAATCGTTCCGTTAATTAAATCCAGATTTTTGCCTCGATGATAGTGTAATTCCTAAACAAAAAAAATACCCACTCACTAAAAATAGGTTAATTAGACATCTCAAACAGGTTTTTGAATGATCCACTTTAAATGATTCTGCTCACCTTTTATCTTTATCAGTGCGGTACTAATCAAAGAAAATCAAAGGTTGAGCCGAATTCATACATGTAAATTTACAGGGTAGTGTTGATGACGTAGCGTGTAATACCTACTGCCAAATTACAGAAGAGGTCAATTGATTGACACACGACACGTAATAAGTTAAACATGTGAGAATAACTTTGGGTATAGGAATTGTTTATTACGTCACCTTGCTGTCAATTAGTGACTCAACATTTAATCCGCTATAATTTAGGATATGGACAGATAACAATCAATGCCCGGAGGCACGGTTTACATTTTAGATACAGGTGCTGTGTTTGATCTTTTCTTATGTTGATATTTTTTTTAAATATCGGGATTTCAAGCTGTAATATCGGGAATCGGGATCAGTGTTGAAATATCGGGATTTTTTTAAATCCCGCCGGGATGTCACATGTATGGGGCATATGGACAGTCAGACAAGGGCAAATCTATAACAACCCCACCTCTTCTTCTATGTGGTGTCATAACAATGTTCAACTTCAATATATGATGTTTTTTATACGAGTTACTTTCCCATTTACCAAAGAATAATTTCACATGAACACACATGCAATCTCGACTCCATGTCACATATTGCCATGTTTCTCTATTTTTGTATAATAATATATTGATGCTTTGCCAGTAGCTTTTCTTAGGGCTTTAGTACAAATAAAAGTTCTTCTTCTTCTATGATTAACTGTTAGAATGCTAGCTGTTACAATGACAGGTTCATGTGATCATTGCTGTCAGGCAAGCCTTGTAATAGGTCCATTTTTAGCTCGACTTTTCTATGAAAAGGGGAGCTATCCTACTCGCCCCGGCGTCGGCGTCGGCGTTAGCGTTGGCGTCACACCTTGGTTAAGTTTTTCGTACCACCCCACTTTATTTCAGAAGTATTACAAGTATGGCTTTGAAACTTACCATACTTGTTCACCATCATAACCTCCATCTACAGACAAGAGTACATAACTCTGTCAAGGTTTTTGACAGAATTATGGCCCTTTTTTGACTTAGAAAGTGTATTGAGCTTGGTTAAGTTTTTTGTACCACCTCACTTTATTTCAAAACCATTGGAGGTATTGCTTTGAAACTGACCATACTTGTTTACCATCACGACCTTCATCAACAGACAAGAGGACATAACTCTGTCAAGGTTTTTGACAGAATTATGCCCCTTTTTGACTTAGAAAATACATTGAATATGGGTAAAATCCACTTATTGCCTTAACCCTTTGAGATATTGCTTTGAAACTTTTAATGCTATTTCACATCATTACCCCCATCTGTACGCAAGAGAAGGTAACTCTGTCAAGGATTTGTTTTAAAAAATTAAGGCCTTTTATCGACTTAGAATCTTGGTTAAGTTTTTAGTACAGTCCACTTTTTGACTGAACTGTTTGAGATATTAATTTGAAAGTTGGAATACTTGTTTACCATCATGGTCCCAAAACATGGGCAGGAGAAGGTAATTCTGTTAAGGATTTTATTTGAATTATGGCCCTTTTTGACTTAGAAACTCAGTTAAGATTTTCATTCTTGTCCACTTGTTGACTTAACCATTTGAGATATTACTTTGGAAGTTGGAGTTCTTATGTGCCATCATGAGACCTATCTGTAAGCAAGAGAAGATAACTCTGTGAAAATGTTTCTTGATTTGTACTTAGAAATTCCTAGTTAAAGTCTTGTGTGCCCTTAACTGTCAAAGTTTTGTTTTATAGGCAAGCACTAAAAAAGTCGAGCGCGCTGTCCTTCTGACAGCTCTTGTTACACAATGCCCTTCTATTGGCTGATTAGTATTCAGTATTCAGTATTTTGAGATCCTATTAAGTTATAAATTCAACACAGGTTCATAACAATATCATGATAGAGTTTTAAAGAAACATGGCCTAAAAAGTTTTAAATAAACAGTAGAACTCCCTGTTCTAAACTGGTAATAAATTTCAGACACTTAAGGACATTCAAAATGTAACTTCTCACTGATATTAAGATTTAATTTACCATGTATAAACAAATAAAACTCAGAGTACTGTAAACTCATTAGGATCAGAGTAGCAAGTCTATTTAGAATGATATGTGGGTAACTGGGGGTCTAAAACTAGTCAGTAATCAGGGTGAAATAATATTAAGATAATCTAGCCATTTAAAATGTACTCAATCAACTTAAACAAGGTAAGCAATCATTGATAAACAGGGTTGAATAGGACACTTAACTGTGAAATACTGAGTTTTTTCACTGTGCTATTACCCCCTGTACTTTTTAGGAAGGGATTTATCAATGTCTCAAGCACAGATAAAATACTCACATATAGAATTCTTTCATTCATCTTGCTGTTTAATATAATCTTATAAGGTATAAAGTGAGGTCTAGTCAATGTAACATACTTCAGCCCAGTTTCCTTAACAAAAATTACCAAGTGCTTATTAAAGGGACTCCACTGAGGTTTTTTGACATGATGGGACAGAAATTTTTTGCCAGATAAATGTACCATTTGATGTAGGCTTAGACCACTAATCTTTGCGCAAAATTTCAGATCATTTGCGCACTTCCTTTTTCCAGAATAATTATTCAAATTGTAAAAAAAAATAATCCCAAAATGAAAAGCATTTAAATGCTTTTTACTTACATTGGACTAAGAAAAGCATAAAAATACGATTTTCAATTTATTTCAACGTATATGTCTTAACTATTTTTGCATACATTTCTGTTTAAAGTGCCCCAGCTCATTTATGTAAGAAATTCAAATGTTACGTTTTTAGGCTATTAAACCACAATGGAGTCCCTTTAAGTATTTTGGTATCATGTCAGAATACATGGCTGCCCAAATAACTTATTGAGATTCTTTCATCATAAATTTAAACCTACCATGAAATGCCAATGAAAAATATAACATAGCATTTTTTTGTGTAAGACTATTCACAATGTATAAATCTTTTTTGTGGCATAGATTTACAGCAATTCATATTTCACTAAATTGAATTTGATACTTCTTTCCTTTAAATACATCTGACACTTATGAATTAATATATTAAGCTTAAGTATGAAAAAAACTTGTTTGATGATCTGTGTATCTTGAACAGTCAAAATGATTAAGCATAAAAAGTGTTAGGCCATTTTTCTGTTCATAACTGAGTGAATGGGTAAACATTAACTGTTTAAAAAATTGTTACTGACAAGAATCTGAGCCAGGGGCATTTGTGTTTAACAAACACATTCTTCTTTCTTCATTTATTTTTTTAATTTTTTGAAAATACCGTAATGTTTAGTGCGTGCCTGTTGATTATGTGTAAAGTTATTATACATGTTTCGTAATACAATATATGTAAGTATATAAATATAACTGTGATAAGTTCATTTTTCAAATATCACCAAAACAACAAAGGATTGACCAACACTTTTCATAAAATTTTGTTCAATGCACATAAAAAACTGTTATTTTCTTCTTTTCTTATTGCAGAGATAGTGTTGCCTCTGTAAGAAGGCTGTCACTTTCCTCATCTAGTGACAAGATTCCACTAGAAACAAACAAAGCAGACACCATGGTACTACAGAATAGCAAAGCTAAAAGTATGAATGGAGCCAAAAGTTCTAAGGAGTCTACACCTGTTGTAATGAACCCAATTGATCCAAAAACTATGCTTTTCTTTGAGGCAATACGGGAAGGATCAATTCAGAAAACAAAAGCCATTTTACGCGGAAAAAATATGAATATGAACACAAGAGATCTAAATGACAAAAATACACCCACTGCACTTATCGTGGCATGTGAGGTTAATAACACGGAAATTGTGAAACTGTTGTTGACAATGAAGAAAGCCAGAATTCTGGATGTAAATCAGGAGGATAAAGTTGGACGGAGACCTATTTGGTAGGTGATGTTCTATACCTTAAAATTTCAATAAAAAAATAGTTATTTCAACAGTTTGGGCAAATATATTTGGACCGAAACTAGTAGACACTAATAAAATATTGTAAACTTGCCCTGGTGTTCACGTGTTTGTTTGTTTGATTGGGTTTTTACGTCACATCGACACAATATAGGTCATATCGCGACATTCCAGCTTTACTGGTGGAGAAAGACCTCAGGTTTCAGGCACGAACGGGCACCAGAGTAGAACCACCGACGTTCTGTAAGCTAGTTGGATCGCTTCCTCACATGAAAGAATCGAAAGTCCCTGTCGGGATTCGAACCCACAGCGGTGAGGGGCAAGTGGTTTGAAGTCAACGACCTTAACCACTCGGCCACGGACGCCCCCTGTTCACTTGTATTACTCTTGTATTTTGAACTTGCATTGGGAAACATATTTTGAGTAAGATGTTTCAAACTGATAATAAAAATCTTGAAACACAACTTAACATTTTTTACAATCTTCATTCAGTCATATAAATTTCAGTTGAAAAGTAGGAAGATTGCTGGTCAAAATTTTACAAAATTCAAAGTAAACGTTTTTTTTTTTGTAAATGAATAAAAAAAAATCCCCCCTTTATCACATTACGTTGCATATATTTTGATGTGACATCATTTAGTTTATACAAACATAGCATAAAAGACTCGCTAAATTATTGTGTAAGGCTAATATTAAGCGTCTTCTATGAAAAAATGAAAAAAAGTGACTTATTTATACTGTAAACATTTGGATATATGATAAATAGCATATTACATTTGTGTAGTTTCAATACTAAATTTATTTAACTTGTTCAATAAAATAATACTGTGCTCCCCAGAGGTTCGCATAATATAATTCTATTAAACTTATTCAACTTTTTCCATTGAACCTACACTGATTCAATATCCTCTTTATCTTAACTATAATATTAAGCTAAAAAAAATCAAGATTTTTTCAAAAATACACAGCATAATTATGTGGCTTTCATATGTCCACGCACATCAATTAACTTTTTAAGGCTTAATAATTATCATTATGAATAAATTATATAATTATTAATATTTTCATTATAAAAAATTTATGGAACTGTTTTATTTTTTTCCAGGATAGCTGCATGGAAGGGTAATGCTGAAATAGCTGATTTATTATTGAATACTAGAGGAACAGAATGTGATGTAAACTTCATTGATAAAGAGTCGGGTACCAGTCCACTGTATCGTGCCATTCTAAGTAACTCTGAGGAGACAGCACACCTACTGATATCAGCAAAAGCTGATGTTAACATGAGGAGAATGGGTGTGAACCTAAATGGAGCAGAAACACCTCTCATAAAGTATGCCCTTGATTCTAGCAATCATTATCTCTTTATTAAAGTATCAGGTCTATTAAAAGCTTCTTCTCAAAAGAAATTTTCTTTAAAATAATGCTGCTTTACTAACAATAGCTTTTTAACTTCCCAAAATCAGCAATTTCAACAATAATTCATATCAACATTAAACATGTAAGGCGTCTTTAAAATTCAGAGAGAAAAACCCCAAGTATCTTTTGATAAACTTCATGAACATTAATTTTTGTATATCCATAATCATATTAAGCTATGAATAATTGCTTCCAAAATTAAATGAAGAAAAAAAAAAAAAAAAAAAAAAGAGTTCCCCTTTTTCCCTGGGACAGAAATATAGATCTGACCAGTCAAAACTAATTTTTGAAGGAATACTACTCGTGGATTAAGAAATTTTCATCATACTTTTACAAATATATTCAATCTCATTCCAATATTCAATTACCAAAATTAGTTATTACAAAATTTAAATTTTAATTATTTTTTAATTCTATTATTAACTTTTTTTTGCAGAGCTGTACAGATGAACAACAAAGCAATTGTGGAACATCTTGTCAATGCTCTATGTAAAATACAGGCCAGGACACAAGAGGGATTCAACGCGTTACATTATTGTGTAGCCTATAGGAGATATGACATTGCCGAGTACCTCCTGCAGAATGAGATTAAAATTCACGCAAAGAGTCATAATGGTATAACAGCAATGACCGTGGCGATTGAGCATCACAATCCTGCGATGGTGAAACTACTTATAGAGTATGGTTACAAAATGGACAAAAGGTACCAATGGAAGGAAACGCCCCTCTCTCAGGCTATAAACCTGCATAGTGAGGAATGTGCAATGACATTGATTCACCAAGGTTGTGAACTGAAGAAAAAGCGCGGGCATTCATATTTCATGATGGCCGTGGACGAGAAATTGATGAAGTTAGCAAAGTTCATGGCTGCAGTTCAACCACAGTTTCTACAGCAAAGTTGGGTAAAAACCAAGCAGTGGCCTGTTTCTATCTACCATAGACCGGACATTATCCGATGGTTGGAGCAAGAATCAGACAAGGTGCGATCTCTACGCCAGCTCTGCCGCGGTAAAATATTCAGGTTACTTGGAAAGTACCCTGATAATAAACTTAAGAAATTGAACTTAACTGACACTCTAAGAGAGTATGTTTCATATAAATCTCATGTGAAGGATGAATTCTACGTCCAGAATTCACTAGATCTTAAGGGAGAATGTCCTATCGAATGCCCAGCAATATGTGCAAGAAAATATTGTCCGCCAATAGAATTCTCAAGTTCATCAGAATCAGACTCCAGCATTGATGATGATGACATAGATTCACAAGGGGCAAATGGACACCACAATCGCAATCATTTAAATAACCCAAATGATCATGACCATGATCATGATGATGATGATGACAAGAAATGTTGTGACTACTGCAAATAACTGTTTTTTTTAGATAGACGGTACTGTACTGCAAATAACTCTTTTCTTTTTAAATTGACGGTTAAACACTTTTTAAAAATCATCAAAACAAAGAGGTATACTGTTCAATCTTCATCAAGTTTGTCTTCAAAAGTGGTTTCCAAACTAGCACGACTAATCAAGGAAATGTTTTAGTGCAAGACCCACAAATAAAACTGATAAAAAGTAAATCTTTTACAGAGTCATTAAAGAATTTAAGGTGCAAATAAGCATTTATTGAGATATTACCCAATGAGGAAAAAATACATCTTCTGGACTTCACACAAATTTGACTGTAATTGATTTCAAAGCTAGAGGCTCATTAAAACTGGGCAAGAGAGCTTCAACATTAATTTATCTATTTTTTTACACATCAGAAGATGACCCTGTAGAAACAATCTATAAAATATCTAGACTTGTTTTTTTTATCATGAACTGTGTTACAATATTTAAATTAATATTCTTTTGAAAATTTTCTTAGAGCAACTGTATTCCTGGTGAATATTTAAAGTGGTAATTGCATCCTAATGAATAATTTCTTTGGGAGTTGCTGATTTTGGTTTACCAGCTGTTTTGAATTTATTGCAGACACATTTTATTATACTATTAAGGTGCCTTCATTAATAGTGATCTGTTTTATAAATCTTATTGCAGATTTTCAGCAAAAAAAAATGTTTTCATTTAGAAATTGTTAATCAATTTTGTTCTGAAAAGTTATTGTATGGCATATTGTCATTTTACTGTGCACTATCTAGGATTTAAAATTATTCAAAATCTAACATAATGGTGAGAGACTTATACCTTGCTCTAATTTGATTACTCTTAACAAAGATCTTTACTCAAGTGAAGTATACAACATGTAAGTTTTATAATCATAACCCTTAACCTGCTGAATTTGTGTAATGGATCTGTCCAGCTTTAAATATGGAGCAGTCCATTCAAAGATTAAGGGATTTCAATGTCAAAATACAACAATTGAGCAACCAACAGTGTAAGAGACTGGTCAGATTGTGCACACTGGTATTTAGGCCGGCCTGGTTCTATACTGGTGGCAAAGGCTGATCTCTTTAGGTTACAACAGGTCTTTAAGGTTTGAACTTTCTCTGCTAAAGAAATTTTTACATTTTTACAAGTTTTTTTCTGCTTTAATGAACACTTTTACACGAGTTCTAATTTTACATTTATTTATTTATGAAATAAGTAAACAATGGGCGAGTTTGTAGAAAGTAGCTTTTGCCATTTAAAATGTTATTATGCAATAAAAAATAAGCTACATATGCCTAGTTTCTTGGTTTGTTATATAGTAAAGCATTTCTTGTGAATGCTGATACTGTCATATGTAAACATGTCTCTTTTGTGTTTGTTAAGTAAACAGCCTCACTTTTCAGATCTGTTTATATATAGTTTTTCTCCTGAAGTTGGTCATAAGTCCTAGGATTTAGGATTAACTGAGGACTCTCCATAAAACGCAGCCCTGTTAATTTGGAGTATCAAATATAAGTAAGTTAATTCAAATTCCTCAAGATTAATAATACATAAAAACTGCCTTGTATATTTGACTTGTGCCTGGTGGATTGTTTCGAAGCATTTCTCAAAGAAATAAATGCTGAAACATTATGGACAGGGATTATATTGCAAGGAACAAAAATCTTATATGAAAAACAATAACAACTGACTATTTACTAACAAGTTTTAGTTTCAACTTTCATAAAAGATAACAATTGAAATAAATATTAACAAAATCATGACATAATCACTTTAACTGCCTTCATGGTTAGCTTTATATTAGATAAAATAACAACATGAGAATAACTACAAATCAATAATCACATCATTTATCAATTTCTAAAATATGGTTGACCTGATCACAGCGTACAGGTGATTTAAAACAAATGTGGAACATGTCTTTTTACAACAAACATACTAAACACTAGTACTCAGAAGGGGGAGTAAAACTTCCTTGTATTTATGTTATAAAAGAACAAATAAATTAAATATTAATATACTAGTAACATAGTTGTCAAGTTTTCTAAAACAATGTAATTAAAGTTTTGAGATCTTTATATAATGCAGGTAGTACACCATAAGTACAGAAACTTTTGGGAAAATCATTTATATGAAGTAAGCTGTCATAGTGGAAATGGTATAAAAGTGAACTATGTAGTAGTAGAAGACATGGTAAAATCAGCATTTTCCTTGAATTTTTACCCTAATGTCTCATTATACAAAATTTAAAACTTTGGTTAAATTAAGACACATTAAGATGTTAGATATACCTCTTTAAGCAGGTATTTGCAGGAACTCTGTAAACAGTGATAAAGGTTAACGAAGGCAGCATTACATATAAATGAGCCGCGTCACGACAAAACCAACGTAATGGGTTTGCGACCAGCATGGATCCAGACCAGCCTGTGCATCCGCTCAGTCTGATCAAGATCCATGCTGGTCGCTTACCAACTCTATTACAAGTAGAGAAACTGATAGCGAACAGCATGGATCCTGATCAGACTGCGCGGATGCGCAGGCTGGTCTGGATCCATGCTGGTCGCAAACCCATTATGTTGGATTTGTCATGACGCGGCTCAAATGATAGTTTTCTTGCATCCTACTGGTAAAAAAAAATGAGGCGGCAAAATAGTTAAATACATTAAATGAAACTATTAAATGGTCAAAGTTAATTCAACCAGATTCTCAAGGCTATCTATCAATATGGAGGTTTAATAAAAAAAGGTTTAAACACTTGTGTGCAACAAATGAACTAATTTAGGTTGACATCTGTTCCAAGTTATTTGAGAATTTGTAAACCTATAACAAAGTAACAGCCTAGATATGAGATTTGTGTTATTGAGGAATCATTAAATTTATGACAAAGTTAAAACCGGGACAAAATCAGATGAACACAGCACTCGCATACAGTGAATGGTCACTGTAGCCACAAAGTCCTCACTATAGACAAACAGATTCAACAAAAATGTTCAAATTTCTTGCAAAATACAGAAAGTTTTAGAGGTAAGATAACAATTTGTTCAAGTCCTTTTCTTTGATGCAGGTTACTCAAGATGTGAAAATAATTTTTAAAAAATCTTTTCCTAAAAATACTAAAAATAAGGGAGATATTTCTTACATGATAAAAATCCATAAGTAAAACTGTATGGAAATGAAATATTGTATAGTATTTCTAATATAAAGACATACCTTATATGATAAGTTTAAACTTAAGTTTTACCTTAATTATAACTTTCAGAAAGCAGGCTTATATGCCATTTTGGAATAAGTTTTCTACAATACAAAAAAAGAAGAAAAAGATGAAATTAAAAATAAATAACAAATTCAAGCTAAAATGAGAAATAAAACTGCATTGACTTTGTGAATAAAGGTTACATTCATATAACATACATTGGTGATATTAATACATATACATTGTATAGAACAATTTTCATAAATATAAAAGCAAAAAATCTTTTAAAAATCTTTTGTACAAGCATAATGCAGTAACAGACACTTTGATATTGTGCATAAATAATGGCATGACATTAAAAAAATATATATAAAGATAGCATTTAACTTTAACAAACCAGAAAAAAGTAGAACAAAAATATGAATAACTAATTATCTGACAATATGACCTGAGCACCAAAATAGAAACAACAAAAGTGGCAAAATATAATAACGTAATGCGAGACAATTGTCATACAGATCTGGTCATGCATTAAAAATCAAAGTATACTCTACAATAGTTCAATATTTAACAATAGAAACAGAAATAAATATTTCAGTACCAAAATGTAATACTGTTTGCTTTTAAATATAAAATAAGTACAAGGCAATTATACAAGAAAATAAGTTACTTTGGAATTATGAAGCTTATGCAAAATAAACTTAACAAAGTCTTAAGTACTCAACATCTATTTGTCTATCAGCAAATGGATATCTATCAGTTGGGCACTCTTTTGCCGGACAAAATGAATGTACCCTGCTTTTAACATTTCTTGTCACTTCCAATTATCTATTTTAAAATTGAAGTTAAAATAAGCCTGAAGTTCAGTCTTAAAGCAAAAGATGTGTAAAACATGACCTTAAAATCTTGGTGCTTTTTTCCTGTCTACTAATTCCACTGAAAATGAACATGAATAACCAATTAACAATTCTTCGTACTGTACTTTTGAAAAGCAGCCGGACATGACATTCAGCTATGAACATGTTGACAGAATAACAGGCAGAAGGCAAAGACAAATAATGTCTTCAACATATAAAAATGGATGAAATAATACAGTTTTTGTACTCATATGAAGAATAGCACCATATCAAGGACAGTTCAACAGTTTCAGACATATAAAACATTTCAGTTTTTATCCAAGCATTCAATGAATTCAATCTTTTGCCGGTTTTTTCAGCTTTGCAGTGAGTATGACACAGGTACTATCATACACCATGGATAACTGTGCATGTTCTGATATTTTACTCATGATTTTATCCAGCTTATCTCTGCTCACTGGAACTGGTAGGTACCATCTCTCCTGAAATTTATGCCATGAACGCTTTGAACACTGAAACAATGCGTCACAATTTGCACAAAGTTTTGATAGGTAAAATGAAGTAGACCTAACTGGACATTTTTCTGGCTCGTTTGGGGTGGCATACATCTTACCAGGCTGCTCATCTGCCGGAATGTAAACATAGTCAGCAAATGAATAAAATACACCATTCACATCACTTTCCAGCACTAGACTATGCTTTGTTAGGGAGCGCCAAAAATTTCTGGGTAAATTACCTTTACACAGGTGAAAGGTGATGTCAAACCATACCTTCCACATTAAAGAGGTAGGATCATCATCTGATAGGGTTCTTGTTGTATAAAGCTTCTTCATATCTTCTTCTGTTATTGGATAAGACACATTATCAATCACAGTCCCATTATTTTGCTGAGTTTCTGTAAACACAAGCTCTGTGAGAATTTCATTGGATCGGTTATACTCTAGGTCCTGGGAAATGCTGATGCGGACATTTTGACTGCTGCAATTTGATGTTAAATATAACGAGAGGGCTCTACGAAATGTCTGTAATATGTTTGTAGAATATGGTGTTCCTTCATGGGATAGAGCATCTGTATAAAACTTAGCCAGTTTATCATTTAGCCAGGTAGAGCTCATAGATTCAAACTCTGTATTTTCATCCCCTTTTTCTTTCAACCACTCTGAAATTATAATCAACATGAACAAGAAAACATATTTTTTTGTTATCAGTCCTGTAAAGCTTTCTCTAAAGATTGATAAAATAAAAGTATTTTGTTCTATAGCACAACAAAAATAAAAAAATTATATTATAAATTATAATACATGTTCTTTAAAATGTACAAAACTTTTTTTTTTGTAAATTCTTTGAAAATAACATCACCAAATCAGAGAGGCAAACTAATTCTGCAATACAAGAGAATTTTTCTATTAACTTAACCATTAGACTGCCAAGGCAGTAACTGATGCAACCCCAGGCAACCAGTGCAGACAATGATCAGCTGGCACATCCATGATGTCTGATCAGGTTTTGCATTGTTTGCTATTCTGTCAGTATATCCTTTGAAAGTCTCCCTAAAAATCATGAATGGTTTTGTCTGCATTGAAAGGTGGACAAGTCCATTTAAGATATCTAGCATAGTAAGGATTTAAAAAAAAAAACAACAACAGAAAAGCAAGACAAGAAACCAGGTTTTTCAATTATCACCATTGTAGAAAGATCTGTTGAATGTGATCAAGCAACAAACAATGTAACTATGTGCAATGTAAATCATAAATTATGAATGTTCTATTTTTCAAAAGCAATACCAAGCCACATCTTCATAAAACAAACTACCGCCCGCCCATCCACTGACATACCTCAGTCTAATAACCAGGTTTTTCCTCCGGAAAACCCTTGTTAAAAACAACAACATACATACTAAAACCCTTACAAACTTATGATGACATAATGTATACCTCTAAATAATGAAACAGCCCATTGCATCTGCCTCTGTGTAGCACAAGACAAAATTGGATATTGTTTCTTGGCTGCTGGACCTTCTTTACCCTCCTCTTCAATATGTCTCTTACGGGAATGATCAGGACCATCAGGCTAAATAAATGCATAACTAGAAATGTGTCCATAGGACACAGGTGCCCCCACCGCGCCACTGTTCTGTCAATCTTTTTACTAAGTCAAGGGAAATAACTCTACAAATACTGGATAAATCCACAAGCCAAACCCCAGGTGCAAATCTAAATATGCTGAGCAACCTGCCCATAAGGTTTAATGACTATGTCAAATCCTTTTTGAGTAACTTGCGACACAAGTTGAAAATTGCAAAAATTTTCTAAGTGAAGGGCAATAACTCTAAAAATACTAAATAAATCCAGACGAAAATACCTGGTGCACAACTGCACATGCTGATCAATATTCCTGTAAAGTTACATGACTCTAGGTCAAATACTTTTTGAGTTACATGTGACACAAGTTGAAAATTGCAAAATTTTACTAAGTCAAGGGCAATAACTCTGAAAATACTAAAAATATCCAGACGAAAATACCCAGGTGCACAACTACACATGCTGATCAACATTCCTGTTAAGTTTCATGACTCTAGGTCAAATACTTTTTGAGTTACAAGCGACACAAAAGTGAACAGACGGACAGACGGACAGACGGATGGACGGACAAGGGTAAATCTAAATGCCCGCCACTAACGTGGGGGCACAAAAATTTAAACATTACCAAATAAAACACATATATTTAATACATTCTCAATATATAAATACCAAAGCACTTATGCTACAATTATAACCCATGAACAATATTAAATGTTTAGATTATTACTCACTGAAAAATTTTTTATATCACGGTTCAGAACTGTTCACTATTTAGGGGAGAAGAAGTGTAATCGGCAGGATAGCTCAGTCGGTCAAGCCGTAGTATGTTATTTGGAGGGTCCCGGGTTTTTCTCACCCTGTGACATTTACATTGGAATGAACAAACAAGGGTAAATCCATATGCTCTCCTACACCATGATGTGGGGACATAAAAATTAATTAAATATTTTTTTTTATATTTTTATTGACTCTTTTATTTTTCTATATAACTCTGTTGATCACAATAAATTTGCTTCAAAATAGCCAGGTGTGTAAGGTCACATGCTAAAGCATATTCTTGAAAGTTTCGCTGCTCTAGCAATTGCCGTTTGGAGTTACACATAACTAAAGTTATGATAATACAGTAAATTCCAAACTGCATAAGAGCTGTGGACACTAAGGTCCAACACCAAAATACTTTGCATTCCAGCCAGTACTATCAACATTTGATGAGCACAAACAACAAGTTGCATATATTTCTTTAAAATCCTGAGATGCCAATGTTAATTCTACAGAAGTGCTAAAACAATAAAAACTCAATGAACTAGGACACAACAAAGTGTTATAGTAAGCTTCCAAGCCAATTGTCAGACCTTCTTATAGCTAGACTAAGGCCAATAACAGGTAGGACCATTAACTTTTCAGTGAACAGCAAACCAAATTTACAGTATCATTTTCCAAACAAATGGAAGAAAACTAAGGATTTTAATATTATGATGATATTAAAACAGTCTAGATCATTACAATTTTGATTTACAACAGTTTGATACCTACCAAGAGCAATACTCTGTCTAAAGCATTGGAGATCATCTCATGGGAAATTTCTGATTTTACATCACTATGTTTCTCATGGCTTGATATTGATGCTGTTTCTAGCAAAATACAATTTTAATCAATATTTATTTTTTTAAGAGTTAATTTAATATTTTGTAGACTTAGAATCACAAAAACAAAGTCAGTATCAACATGTGTAAAATAAAGTCAATATCAACATGTGTTAGTGTAAAACAAAGTCAATTTCAACAACTGTAAAACAAAGTTAATATCAATAACTGTAAAACAAAGTCAAAATCAACAACTGACAACTGTAAAACAAAGTCAAAATCAACAACTGTAAAACAAAGTCAACATCAGTCAATGTCAACAACTGTTAAACAAAGTCAATGTCAACAACTGTAAAAACTAGAACTGTGTCCAAAGGACACGGATGCCCCCACTGACAACATATATATGGTATATAGTGAAAAAAATCAACAAAGGGCCATAATTCTGTTAAATTTGGTCGCAGCAAAAATTCCTTCCTTTACTTCCATCTACACATTAAGGTTGTTCATCCCTGGAAGTTTAAGCAAAATCTGCCATCCGGTTTAAGAGGAGTTGCGTTCACAAAATTTCTATATGGTATATAGTGAAAAAATCAACAAAGGGCCATAATTCTCTTAAATTTGGTCGCAGCAAAAATTGCTTCCTTTACTACCATCTACACATTAAAGTTGTTCATCCCTGGAAGTTTAAGCAAAATCTGCCATCCGGTTTAAGAGGAGTTGCGTTCACAAAATTTCTACATAGTATATAGTGAAAAAATCAACAAAGGGCCATAATTCTCTTAAATTTGGTCGCAGCAAAAATTCCTTCCTTTACTACCATCTACACATTAAGGTTGTTCATCCCTGGAAGTTTAAACAAAATCTGCCATTCGGTTTAAGAGGAGTTGCGTTCACAAAATTTCTACATAGTATATAGTGAAAATATCAACAAAGGGCCATAATTCTGTTAAATTTGGTCGCAGCTAAAATTCCTTCCTTTACTACCATCTACACATTAAGGTTGTTCATCCCTGAAATTTTAAGCAAAATCTGCCATCCCGTTTAAGAGGAGTTGCGTTCACAAGATTTCGGGACGTACGGACGGACAAGTGCAACGCTATATGCACCCCACTTTGTGGGGGCATAAAAATCTGATATCAACAACTGTAAAACAAAGTTAATATCAACAACTGTAAAACAAAGTCAATGTCAACAACTGTAAAACAAAGTCAAAATCAACAACTGTAAAACAAAGTCAATATCAACAACTGTTATACAAAGTCAATATAAGTCAATGTCAACAACTGTAAAACAAAGTCAAAATCAACAACTGTAAAACAAAGTCAATATCAACAACTGTGAAACAAAGTCAAAATCAACAACTGTAAAACAAAGTCAATATCAGCAACTGTAAAACAAAGTCAAAATCAACAACTGTAAAACAAAGTCAATATCAACAACTGTAAAACAAAGTCAATATCAGCAACTGTAAAACAAAGTCAATATCAACAACTGTAAAACAAAGTTAATATCAGCAACTGTAAAACAAAGTCAATATCAACAACTGTAAAACAAAGTTAATATCAGCAACTGTGAAACAAAGTCAATATCAACAACTGTAAAACAAAGTTAATATCAGCAACTGTAAAACAAAGTCAATATCAACAACTGTAAAACAAAGTTAATATCAGCAACTGTAAAACAGTCAATCTCAACAACTTTTAAACACAGTATCAACTGTTGACAAAAACTTAAATCAAATTAAGTAACAACAACTGCAAAGTCAATGTTTACAACTGTAAAACAAAGTAAGAGAGGAAATATGCTTTAAATAATAACATTTTTTTTCCACATAATAATTAAAAACAGATAAATAAAAATCTGTAAACTTTCAATTTTAAAAAAAGTGTAAAATAAATAGACTGTTGGTTAAGAATTTTTAACTAAAGTATACATACAAGATTTTTTAACAAAAATAGACATAAAAGAAAGTTTTTTGTTTTTTTTACTTTTAATTTAATCTATGCTTTTATACATGTAGATGTGTTCTTTCCTTATCGAAAAAAGAAAAGATTTATATTTTATACAATACCTGTAAATTTGGGACTTCTAAGGAAGCAAGTGTTTCGTGTACTGGTTTCACAGTCTGGAGTAGAAATATCTGAAAGCATTGGGCTACTCAATGGTGTATCTGTTACATTGACTATAGTGGCTTCAAAATCTTCGTCAGAGACTGCTGTCTTGTCATCAAGGAAACTATATTAGAAACACACCTCTTTTACCATAATGAGTTCTTTTAGAACCATTTAAACTAATAGTAATAAAAAGTCTTTTACTAGAGAATATTGAGAAAAAGATGGCAGATCACTGACATGTGTTCATTTTGGGAAAGATGACTCAGTTAGGTTGTCTTTTTATTATAAGTATCCTCAGGTGGCCATCATTTGTCACCCTAAGCATTTTACAGTGCTACTTTTTCTATTTCTATTTTCATATGATCCAAGCAAGCTATGTTGAAGAAATTTGGCAGATACATTTAAATCACTGTGATGTAAAATATCCAACTGTTTTCTCTTTTAACGACAACTTGTTGAGAACTGTCTGTCATACACAGGAAGGGTGTTGACTCTAAGACAGGGACAAATTTAAGGCACCCGACCATACATCAATAAATACTGAACTATACTATATTAACTGATCAAACAGAAAAAAAATTCAAATTTTAAGACTTCTGTTACTGATTGCAAACACTCATAGGTTAAAGTTTCACAGAACTTATTTTTCCTCAGCATAAAAGAAAAAAAAAATGTCAAATTAAACATCTGCAAAGTACAAGGCTAAGAATAATGTAAGTACATAAACTGATACATGAGTGTCAATACTTAAAATAGAAAGCATACACAGGGCTTTTTTTCCTTCTATAGCAGGGGCCCCAAAGAAAAATTCTTTAAAATCATGCAGTTTTCCCCAAAAATTTAATTTACATCAAGTATTTTCTTCCCCTTTTGCAAATTAAAGCCACTCTGTGAAAAAAAGCCCTGATACATGTATGCCCTACTATAATGGGCATCTGGGTGAAATACTTACACCTTCTGTAAGCTATTATGATTTCTCCCTTTTTTTTAAATCAGCATAATGCAGTTAAATAAAACAGATATGCAAATTTAATATAAAGATGTAATTAAAAGTTTAAACTATAAACCTAATGTTTATTGTTTTGCTAGCCTAAGAACTTAAGAAACAATTTACTAATTTACCTGTCAGCATTATTGTTACTGTTCATGTTGACATTATAATTCATTCTATCAGGATCAACTTTAATACAGTCTAATGAGGTTTCTGAAATATCAAAGGGAAAGAACTAGAACACTTAAATCAAACTAAAATTGACTATCTTGAGTTATATTCAAATTGCATTTTTATAACAATTATAATAATTGAAGTTATTCTACATGTTAAAAGCTAAAATTCATAGTATGAATAATAAATAAAAATAAATACATGAGCATCAATTCATTACAATCAAGCTAAGCTACAAACAAAGAGCAGTATTATTTTTAAATTTCTGTGTCAAATTATTCCATTTTATTTGTTTGGTTTGATAAATAGTTCCAAAAAGTGCCATTCTGTAATGTGCCACTCTGCAATATTTCAATTATATACAAGCATGCAGTTACAGCCAACTTCATTATATACATAAATTCAATCTGTCAAGATAGCTGAAAACTAGTCTTCCAGTTAACTGTCATAAAATGTTTCTTGCACCACATCAAAATTTGACATCTGATGGTAAAATGATCTCTATCTCCCTCTTTCTAATAGTAAGTAAATAAGTAAAGTAAGTAAGTGAAGTCTTTATTTACTGAGGCTACACATGTGGTTACCCAATCTTCCATGTGGGCCTCAAAAACATGAATATACATAAAATATACATAAGCTAAAATATAATAAGCTAACATGCAAGCTTTTAAACCTCAAAGAACAGTTGACTAAATTCTTGGCAAAACATTATCTAAAGCTAAAATTATAATTATACAATTTAGTGTTAATTCTCAACAACATTTTGATTTTACCTGTTCTATTTGCCTGATTTCTATCAAGATTACTGCATCTGTCTGTCTGAACTGATGCATCTGTTATCTTGGTTTTCTTTGTCTGTCTTTCATCTTCTGACCGAAGCAAATAATGGATAAACTTTGGGTCAGACATTTCACTGAAGCCTGTCTTGCGTTTTATATCAAACCAACGATCACATATATCACCTGTATTTGTAGAAAAGTTTTGATAGAACTTCAAATTAAAAATCATTCAATGAAGATTGGATAATAACTGTAGATTAGGTAAATGTGCAAGAAGATACATGTATCACTTACTGAATCATTATAAAGTTATACATTTAAAGTGAAAAAGCATCATTCATTATAAACAAGAACAAAATATAATTTAAACATAATTCATAATAATGAGTTTGTAAATGAATCTTTAGTTTACCTTTCAATATAATGAATTTGGTTTTAATGAGTTTCTTCACTTGTTTGCCACTGACTGTGAAAGACCGTTGATTTATCTCTGACAAGCTCTTTGTTACATCTGGTATACTGTGCACTGCCATGTCACCCGCTGAAGAACATTTTACTTCTAGTGGACCTACTTCTTGCCTTATTTCAGCTACATCAGAACTACTTTTTGAGCAAAAGCTGGTTTTTTGTGATGGTAATGTTTTATTTTGTAGGTTTGAGTCTACAATTTCCATTTCTACTTCTTTGGGAGTATTTCTTTGTGGAACAATTTTCAAATCCATTTCTTTGAGATTACTTTTAGAGGTAATAGAAAAGCCGGTAGTAGAGTTATTTGACTCCATGTTCCCGCTTTTCAGTTCTTTCATACCTTGATTTGTAAAGTAGCTCTCCATAAACTGACTCTTTGGTTTCCTTACATCTGACATTTTTCTTTTTGAAACAAATTTTTCATATGTTTCCAAGTCAGAGCTGTCATAGGAAGAGGATGATTCATTACAGCTTTCAGACATCAAACTTTGCTTGGATACAAATTGCTCGAGTTCATCAAACATATTTCTATCTTTATGCCCTCCTCCAATTTTTTGGTTCTTCTCTACAATACTGACAGCATGTTCACTGTCTCCTGGTAAATTAGCTTCATCTTTACTTTGTTTGGGTTCAATATCATGATTTAAAGTTTCTATTTTATCAGCTTTTTGATTCTCTGTCTTATTGAAAGATTTCTCACTTTCATGTTCACTATCGGTAGTTGAATTTTCCTTACTACACATTTCCTGTACATCTTCTGATACTCTTTTTTTTAATAGTCTTTTCCTCTTTATTTTCTTAGAACCTGGTTCTTTTTCATTTGATTTTTCTTCAAGTTGGTTTGCAAAACTGATCATTTTTGCTATTTTCTCTTCATCTAGACTGGTGTCTGAACTCTGACCACTTTTCACAGTATCCTTTGGAGATGCTACAATCAGTTTTGTTTTACCTCCAGATTTATTTGTTGAAACAATTCTTGCAGGATAATCTAGGAATGGAACAGGCTCTGTTATCTTTTCATTATTTAGTTTGTCACTCTTTTCCTCACTTACGCCTTTCTCACTTATCAGACATATATCTTTTTCAATCTCTTTTGTCTTTAAACTATGCAAATTTTCATCTACTTTTTGAACCTTTGGTGGTAAAGATGAATTTTCATCAAAGACTGTCTTGAGTGGAGTACCTTTTCTCTTTCGTTTTGAAGTGTATATAAAGCTATCCATGGAGCTGCATATTGTAGCAGGTGACTGCGATCTAAGAACATAATTAGTGTATCCTTGTGAAGATACACCTCGATGACAATTTTCTTTACTTGGTTCTACAACTGTTGTCTCATTCACTGCTTTTGTTAATTCACCTTGTTTTGTTTTGCTGTCTGAGCCTTCTGAAGCTGAGTCATTCAAGCCTTGCCCTGAACCATTTTGTTCAGTAAAAGTTACAGTGCTTAAAGTAGAAACCGCTTTAGGTTCAGCAGATTTAGAGATAGATACAGTCACATGTTTATCAATGCTAGTAGAATTTGGTGTCACCTGACTTGCAAATACTGAGGAATTTGAAGCTGAACTGAGAATTACAGACCCACAATATTCAATCTTCCTTTTACTTTGAACACTTAATTGTGAAATTTTTTCAGGTGAAGTGTTAACTACAACATATGTTTTATTAGTCAAAAGACTCTTTGCAGTCCTAGGACTTATGGTTTGATGATTTATAAAAGGATTTGTAGGTCTGACATAGTTACTTTCAATTGGACTTTTCTGCTGTTTTTTATTGTCCTGGGGGATAGAAGTCTTTGGAAAGCTATGGTTTCCATATTGGAAGGCTGTTGTTTGTGTGAGAGTCACAGGACATCTTATACTGTCCCTTCCAAACTTTTGGGGGTTTACAACCATAGGACTAGTTGTGTATGCTTTTTGCCCTAAAACCTGTTGTAGATGTGCTCTTACTGTGTTGTTGCTTCCAAAAGCATGCATCAAAGGTTGTCTTATGACTTGAGTACTCTGTGTTACAGTATCATTGGGACTTGTATGGGCTATCAATAGATTCAATGGCTTGTTAGGTTGTCCTGCAGATGGGACGCTGTATACAGGAAATCTGCATACAATAGGTTTTTGGGAAGCCTGTACACTAGTATTTGTTGGAATCAAAGCCTGAATTACGTTTTTAGGAAGAGTTGTATTCCTATTATATACATTTGCCAAATTTCTGGTAATTTCTGTTGCTGCCAACCCTGCTCTGGCACTGACAGGACTCTTAGATGCTGTTGTAGGTATTAATGCACCAATTACAGTTTTAGTTTTACCATCAGTGCTTTTTAAATGAATCTGGTACAATTTATTGTCAATCATAGCAAACGTTTGCCCATTGAAGTGGTAAGTATGAAAAATCTGGTTTGAAGACTCATCTCTCACATAGCCAGATGGTAGAATTAATGTATCTGTGTGTCTTGATTGATTAGCATTTTGGGACTGTCTCTGTATCCCTGGCATTATTGCAGTCTGATTCTTCAAAGCATTTTGTAGAACTGCTGACGTGGGAAGTACTAATGTTTTGGCATGACTGGTTACACTCACTCTAGATAAATGTAACTGGTTATTAACAGAGCTTCTGTTATTTACACTGCTGTTCAGGGCGAAAAATATTCCTTGTTGATTTGGTTGACTATCAGTTATTTTCATGGTAGGACTGACTGATGCTGTAACAGATTTTATCTCAACATCTCTAGGAACATTTATTTCAGGCTGAACAGGACTAATTGTTCTTGAACTATTACTTTCTCCAGCTTTTGTTTTTGATGAAGTACAGGATTTTAAACAAGATCTCTTATGTTTTGCTCCATTTTGAATAATAAAGTCTGGTTGCATTTTTGTAACAATTTTGAATTTGTCCAACTGGTCATTTTCTAATTTCTTTTGACCAGATTCATCTTTATTTTCAGTAATAGGCTGGTCCAACTGATTCTTTGTTTCATTTGCTTCATTTTTATTGGCAGACATAACTTTAAATTGAGAGATTTTATTTTTAATAGCAGTTTTTATTTTTTCTTTTGAGTTTTTAGTTTCATGTGCTTCTTCTGAGTTTCGTAACAAGATCTTTTTTTCTTGTGGGTTTTTATCTTTAGCAGCAGACTCTGATCCATGTGAAGACATTCTGCTTTCTGAATTTCTTCTTTCATTGTCAATTAATTCTTCATCAGTGTCTGTACTATCATCAATGGCAAGACCTGAAGATAAGCAATACCTCTGATAGAATCTGCGTCTTGGGAAAAAATAACCCTGCTCTGCCATTTTCAATTTATGTTCACTAATTTTTAGCTCTGCTTGAAGAACTTTCTGTTTTGCTTCAAACATTTTTTGTTCAGCATTCAACATTTGTTTTTTAATCTCACATGAATCTAACTTGTGTGTTTGCATTCTTTTACTTAACACTTCTTGTTTCAACATGCACAACTCCTTTTCTTCCAGGGAGAGTTTTCTTTTCTTTGGAATTGAGCTAACCTGTTTGACCAAATCAAAATGTTCACTATTTTCTTGTTTTTCTACTGTATGAACATTTTTTGTTTGTGACTGCAATTTCTGTGAACTTCCATTATAACTTTGATTTATACTAGCTACAGATTTTTTGTGAATGTCTTTTTGACCTTGTTCTTCCATGACACCTAGTCTTTTGAGTGCAAGCATTTTCTGCAAAGCAATGTTTCTATAATCTGGCTCTTTTATAGTTGCATCAGTGCTGCCGTAGTCTATAATTGTAGTCTTTTTCTGCTTCATACCAGTTGAGGATAAGTTATCAAGCCTTTCAGTACAAGTTGAATATTGCCTTGATATACTTTCAACATCAACAGGCAGTCCAACATATTGTGTTGGACTTAAATTTCCCATATTTGAACTACTTTTCACTACTTTGAGAATCGAATCTGGAAAATGTTTAATAGCACTGCAATTGTTATTTGACATTACAGAAACACAACCTAGATTACTTGGCATCTTTGGTGCATTTGGTAATGGTTTCTCTATTTTATATCCTAATTGTTCATGCTCGTATTCTTTCACCTCTGCCTGGATTTTCAAACTATTTAGGACTTCTTTAATCCTATATTCCTTTTGTTTTTTATTTTCAGACACAGAACAGATGGTATTAAATAATGCTTCATTTATCTTAGAGGCAGAAATATCACACAGATCTGAATTATTCAGAGAATTTTGACTACTTTCATTTTCATCAAGTTCACCTTCAATTGTCACATGTTCAGAACAGTTCTTCTCTCTATCAAGATTCATCTCTTCACTTTTACCTATTACATCTTCATCTAAATCTACCTGGGTATCAGTGTTTGAAATAACTCCACTTTTATTTTCGACTACGGTACACGATTCAGCAATACGCAACCTAGGAATAAAATCGCCACTATCAGAAGAGTCTGTCTCATCATCAAAACCATTCTTTGCATTGTACACAGAATGATTTTCAAAACTTTGCCCTGTCTTCAGATCTTGGAAGGAGTCATCATTAATAACATCAGTGATGCCTCCTAGCTTTATCAAATTACCATTTTTGTCTTCTTTTCCAGCATTTTCTTCAAGCATTTCAGAAAAGTTTTCATCATTTTTCACGATCAACTTTTGAGAAAAGAGCTGCTGATGAAGCAACAGTCTCTGTTGTTTAAGTCTCTCCACCTGACTCCAGTTCCTTGGCATCGACACAGCCGTAAGACAGTCTGCAGGAAGCACAAAGTTTGATTTCACATCAAGCTTTTCAGTTTTAGAATCTTTATTTGCAGAGTCTTTACTTTGAGAAACTGAGCTTTTAGAACCATTTAAACTTTCACCAGCAACTGAAATATTATGCTCTGATGCATATTGCTTGCATTCCATCCTGCATTCTCTTATTCACAAACCATTTGGCAAACAACCACTGAAATGAAACAGGAATTAAAACTAGAACTGCCACTGTCATGGCGTGAATACCCCCGCATACCACTTTGTCAGAATCAACAGTGGCCATTTAGAGCTCAAGGACAACGTCCCTGCCAAATCTGAGGTTACTAAGCCAGTGCTATGTATTCTACATGCTTCAAATGTGAAAATCAATAAACTGCGGACAGGCATTCTTAAGCAATTGAGGGGATAAGCTTTTTTCAGTCGACCTTTGACCCAGTGACCCTCAAAATCAATAGGGGTCACCTTATAGTCATGATCAACTTCCATGCCAAATATGAAGACTGTGTGTCAAAGGAATATTAAGTTTATGGGTGGACAATCTTTTTGAAGTCAAAGTCCATGTGACCTTGATCTTTGACCCAGTGACCTTAAAATAAATAGGGGTCACCTACTAATCATGACTAACCTCCATGCCAAATATGAAGACTGTGGGTCAAAGGAATCTTAAGTTATTGAGCGGACAAGCTTTTTTAGTCAAGGCCCCTGTGACCTTGACCTTTGACCCAGTGACCTTAAAAATTAATAGGGTTCATCTACTTATCATGACTAACCTCCATGCCAAATATGAAGACTGTGGGTCAAGGGTTTCTTAAGTTATTAGGCTGACAAACTATTTTAAATCAAGGCCCATGTGACCTTGACCTTTGACCCACTGACCTCAAAATCAAAAGGGATCATCTTCTAATCATGACTAACCTCCATGCCAAATATGAAGACTATGGGTCAAAAGAATCTTAAGTTATTGGGCAGACAAGCTTTTTCTAGTCAAGGCCCCTGTGACCTTGACCTTTGACCCAGTCAACTAAAAATCAAAAGGGGTTATCTACTAATCATGACTAACCTCCATGCCAAATATGAAGACTGTGGATCAAAGGTTTCTTAATTAATTGGGCGGACAAACTTTTTAAAATCTAAGTCCCTGTGACCTTGACCTTTGACCCCAAAATCAATAGGGGTCATCTACTCATCATGACTAACCTCAATGCCAAATATGAAGACTGTGTGTCAAAGGAATCTTAAGTTATTGGGCGGACAAGCTTTTTGCAGTCAAGGCCCCTGTGACCTTGACCTTTGACCCGGTGACCTCAAAATCAATAGGGGTCATCTACTCGTCATGACTAACCTCCATGCCAAATATGAAGACTGTGGGTCAAAGGAATCTTAAGTTATTGGGCGGACAAGAAAAAAACCGACGGACGCCCGACATCCTGACAGCCGGACGGACAAACTGATTCCAGTATACCCCCCTTACAACTTTGTTGTGCGGGTGTATAATTAGTCTGGAAGAGTAGAAATCCTCCAGGAGGCATATAGATAAAATGTTTTGTTTTCATTTTCCATTTCATTGGCTTGTTTCTGTTATTTCAAGTTAATTTATCAGTGAAATAACACATGAAAGCCTAAGAAAAAGGTGGTGCAGTGTAATCTGCCGTAGTGGCTCAGTATTTTTTTTTTTATATTTTCTTTATAACTCTGCATCCTGCAAAATCAACTACAGTTTTAATTTAAAAATGTATTTTTTTTTATTTGAAAAATATACTTTAGTCAATATGTCCTTGGTTTCCATGTTGGAGGATCAAAATTGATGATTGAGACTTCTATGTTGTAGTAAAAATATAAGTTTGAATATAGAAAACAACTCTAATTTCAATTTAAAAATGTATTTTTTTTATTTGGAAAATGTAATTTAGTCAATATGTCCTCGGTTTCCATGCAAGAGGATTACAATTGATGCTTAGGCACATTTGGTATAAAAAACTCATATTACCCTCAAAATGACCTATTTATGATCAATATTAATTTATTTTACCAAAGTTTACACACACTAAGAAAAAAAAAAGAGAAAGAAAAAAAAAGAACACATTAATTAAATCATAATTATTGCCTATGTCTATCAAAGTTTCTTTTTAGAACAGTCACATTTCATTATTTTCTGTTTGCATATATTTGGAAAAACAATTGTCTTTCCAAACATTCAATAAATCAAAACACAGACCGGAAAAGTGCATGTTTCAGCATTTTCCAGCAACATGTGTTGTGCTATAAAGTGCTTTACAAGTCATTTCTTCGTAGATTAAAATAAAATTTAAAGATATTTGAAAATGTGCTACAATAAACTATTCATGATCATAAGACTAGACTAAAAATAACACCATTTTCTGGAAACAAAATAAGAAATTTTCCACATTTTAGCCTACCGATTGTGTTACCAATTAGCTGAAAAAAGCTAACTTAGACATGCATTTGTTTCATCTAAAATATGTTTTTTCAATGATCCAGTTTAAATGATTCGGCTGGCCTATAAACTAAGTGCAGCACTAATCAAAGAAAATCAAAGGCGGCACTGAATTTTAAATATAAGCACCAATTCATACATGTAAATTTACACAGTCATTGTGACGTAGCGTGAAGTACATACTGCCAAATAAAGGCTATAAACCTTTAAAAAAAGAGACAGACAACACAAGTCATTTCAAGTTCAACATGCCAGAATAACTTCTGCGAACAACAAGGGGCACTAGTCGAATGGCACTGTTTATTATGTCACCATGCTGGCAATTATTAAAGCAACACCTAATTTAATTCCCTATAATCCGGGATATGGACAGATAACAACAAATTCCCGTGGGTGCCCTTTACATTTTATATACAGGTCCTCCTGTGTTTGATTTTTTTTTCACTTTTAATAGAGACGAATATCGGGAATTCAATATCAAATATCTGGAATCAATATCAAAATTTAAGAAGTAGCATTGAAATATGACCCAAACAAAGAAACAACAAACAATATTTTATGATTTTTATATTGTTTCAGAATGTAAAATTGCAGTTTTCCCTATCAACACCACCTCTGTCCTCCAGCCGATGGAGGCGGCATAATTCAGACAAAAAAGATGAAGTACAGGAAGCGCCAGTTACAACATATGCTCGTCACTATGGAAAAGAATCCCATTTAGCTTGGACCAGAGATCCTGAGAAATATTCTGCAGGCGATCTACAAGATTTCTGCCACATAGAAGGAAGTGGACTCTGACACAATTGTGAAATCTTTCGCCAAGTGTTGGTTTACCCCAGAATGTGTAAGTGTTTCAAAGGATGGTGAAGACAGTGACATCGAGGATGACACACCAATTTGGCCCATGAGTTATTTGACTGTAACTTCAGAGAGCTTGTGGCAAAAGACCGTGAGTTTACCACTTGTGACAATAACATGATGCAATGGGAGCAAAGTGCTGTGGACATTCTTAAGGAAATGACTACTGAAAAGGAAAATACCAGTGACATTGAGGATTAGATTGAGGAACCTAATCCTAGTGTTGTATCAGTTAACAAGGTTTCTGAATGTTTATGTAAATTAAGACAGTTTGCTCTCATAAAGAACCAGTCTCCTATGTTAGACATGGTTATGAACTTCGAGGATATGTTTGTGAAAATGCATGTTGAGGCAACTGAGGTGCAGAGCAAAATAAATCTTAAGTTCAAGGAAGTGTTTCATACACAGTCGCTTAGTTTTGGGGGTTCAGTTGAAGCACTGGTAAGAAAGTGTCCGGTAGTGTCAATTTTCTTAGAGGAAATTAGTGGTAAGGCCCTTAGTCTTTACAAACCCATAACTAGTTGCAAGTTCTTGTATGTAGTCAATTTTTCAAACCACCATTGCTGCCTTGTCAGAGTCCTACCAGAAATCTGACTTAGATTTCTCCGAGGTCACACCACTCCTTCGCTCCACTGTTGCTAAAGCAGAGAAGGATGGCATATGTCTAAGCAAATTCTTGTCTCAGGCTCCACAGGCAGGCGATGATGATCTCATGACTTTCTAGTATGAGGGCCACAGTATTAGGGATGGTGAGAAGCAACGTCTGGAAGCAAAATTTTAGTATTTGCAAAAGGTATTAAAAGGTCTTGAAAATAAGTTTTTTCGGATAATGATGTTTAAATTTGTTGTTCGGGACAGTTTTGAAATTTAAATTTCAACCTGTCAGCATCCCCCATTCCGCACAACAGGGGATTTTTTGGTTTCCCCCTTAAAAATTTTGGCACATGCACCAAAAAAATTTGCAAAGTTGGGGGTACATCCCACGTATTAAAAAATTTCTAAAAAAACAGGAAAATGAAAGAAAGTTTGGAATGGTCCTAAACCCCCATATCCTATTTTTTTTAAACGTTCCCGGGGGTCAAATCAATCAAAAGGGGACAGTCTAAATGGGGTTTCTAAACTGAAATACCCGCTACCGAAAATATCATGGGGTGTCCCAAATCCGATTCGTTAGTATATTATTACGCCAGGGAGGGTCAAAATGCATCGCCCGGGGAAAAAAAAAAAAAATTTCTGGAGTTAACAGATCTATTTTTGAGTTTCTTGAAACCCAGTAAAAGGTTTGTTACTTCTGATTTTTTATCATTAAACTTTAATTTAATTTCGATTTCAATTACCAATTGTAATGAAAATGTAAATAATTAATCAGACTTTTTTGAAATCAATGTACGTTAAGTTCGGATATGCAAATTTTCGGCTTACGATATATTAAACATAAGATAAAAACTGAACAGATGTCTCCTGTAATTGCTTGATTACAGCCTCAAGTGATGTGTCAGAGGCATTGTCAACAATCAATCGATAACACAGAGACAACTAGCAGCAAACCAAAAGAGGGTTAAAAGATGGCAAAGTCGTTGGTTGTCCAGAATTTGATTGGCTAAGATGGCATTGATGGAACGTTTAGTAAAATGTTCTGTAACAGTCTGCGAGAAGGCAAGCAATGCAAGAAAAAGCCTAAAGTCAATTTCAAATGCGTTTGTTGTAGGCACAACTAACTTCCAACATTCATCATTGATGAGACACCAGCTTTGTGATGATCACTGTCTTGGCAAAGGGACATTAAAACAACAGGTTTGACCTTTTTTTCTGTTATTAAAAATGCCAAACTAACTTTCATATACTCTAATTCAGAGACTTATTTTAAACTGATAAAATTA